AAAAAAAAAATCCACTAGTTCTTGAGAGAAAAAGCAAAGATTAGAGCAATGTCTGAAAAACTAAATATACTTTTGACTTGCGTCTATCATGTTAATCGTCTTGTCATCATTCAGATTTATTTAAGGACCAGTGGGGCATCCAAACGTCCCAATGGACACCATTAGTTTAAGGTGTGCCTTTTTAAAAGTGGCTGTGGTAAGGTTGCGATAATATAAAGCATATTAGAACTATGTGGATAATTAGGTTAAACCATATTTGCGAATAGCTCTCAGCTGTCTTTAAATAATATATGAGATGAGAGGTTTGCCACTTTCAGCAAAGCTATAAGTGCCATAGAAATAATGGGAACAAACCTGTTAACTTTTCATCCTCTTTAGTGTGATGCAGTGTTTGTCCTGCCAATCTGTGTGGATTAAAACAAAGGTTCATACTTAAATAGAATTTTGACAGGTTGAATTAAACCACATTCTTCTGTCTTTGAATCCACTGTTTGTGTGTTTGCAGGAATCATGCTGCCCTCGCTGACTTCGGCTGTTTATTTCTTCATCTTCCTCTTCCTGTGCACCTGGTGGTCCCTCTGCCGGACCTTCAACACGCTCATCTTCAGCTGCATGTGCGTTCTGATGGCCATCTTCAGCGCCGGACACATCATCGTCCTCTACCTCTACCAGTTCCAGTTCTTCCAGGAGGCCATCCCACCAGACGACAGCTTCATCAGGTCAGACATGTGCAGCTCTTTTTCTAGAACCGCACACAGAATCTAAATGTTTAGAGTCCCGCTAACCAAGGACTTAATCTTCAGCGTGTCACATCGTATGCTTTAGATTCATTGTTGAAAATAGGAAGTGTTTTAATTTAAAACGTAATACATTTGGGTTATCCTTCTCAACTTGAAGTTTGTTGGGTTGTTTTATTGGCATTCTGCACCCAGGAGGAGATCAATCAAACCTTAAAGAGCCCATATAATACTTTTTACGTTTTTTTTTTCCCCTTTCTTGAGTGTGTTATATAGCTGCTTTTTGTTCATGGAAAAGGTCTACAAACTTACAAAACCCAAAGGAAGTTATCCTCTCTTACAGAAAACACACTTACCTGCTTGAAACCATAGACTGTATAAAAGATGGACGTAAATAAATCAATACTGAATTTTTAAAAAATCGTCAAAATTTTGCGGGGCAAGGGGCGTGGCTGGCTTGATTGACAGTCGGCAGGGACCATACAGATGAAGCGAGCACAAGGCGGTAAATGTGGGCGGGCAGAGAGGGCCCGCCTCTCAATCCGTCTGACCAATTGCTGCTCCTATGGCTCCGCCCTCCTCCGACGATTTTTGCGTCACTGGCTCCAAAAATCCAAGATGTCAACCAGGAAGTAGCAAAACCCTGGCTTCATTTTCTCAGTGCAGAAACCAACAGGTGACGTCACGGAAGCTACGTCCATCTTTTATACAGTCTATGCCTGAAACGCCACTTTAAAGTCTGCGCTACATATCTATGTCACCATGTAACACATTAGCGTGACAATAAACGACTAGTCTTGTACAACCTCGAACAAAAAATGAGCAATGAGGGTTACATAACCAACAGGACCTCACTCTCGTCAGGCCAGCTGACCAATCAGAGCACACTGGGCTTTAACAAGGCGGAGCTAAAACAGAGACAGAGGATGGAAAGAGGTGCTGCAGAAATATACAATATAAGAAAAACAATGTCTTTTTTTAAACATTAAAACATGTAAACATATTCTAGTCATCCCCAAAATTATAATTAGAAACATGTACATGTGCAAAACACCTGCTCTTTAGGAACACAATCCAAACTGTTGCCTAAACTACAGTGAGTGAAATTAAACTTGGGAGCGTTTGATCTCCTGTCACGACGATGAATTGCTCACCACAGTTTATCTGTGGTTGAATAGCACAAGCCCACACTAATGCCGTCTGACTGCTTCATAATGTGAAAATACATGACGTGATGACGGAGCTCAGCAGCCGGGGCTCCTTCGACTCAGCCGTATTTATTGCGCCCAAGGCAGGTTTGTTTAAACGTTAATAAATATTTACTATTGTTGCAAACAAGAAGGCAAAGGAAAAGGCAAACCCAGCTGGAGAGGAGATATATCAAACTCCTACTCACAGCGCATCAGTTAGAAGAAGCTTTTAGGCTCTTTGCTACAACCAGCGCTGTTTTATTATACATGAGAGAGGAGACAATTAGCTGTCTGCGGCGGCGGCGGTGAAGCGCTGTGGTTGGAGCAAAGCCACACTGTTGTGCGTCTTTGCCAACATACGTTAGTCACAGCAGTAAAGAAAGACGACTCTGTGGGATTAAGGCACCTCAGGTCAGGAAGTGTTTGACTGACAACCTGGAATACAAACAATCCTGTTTATTTACTAATTGCAAAAAAAAACCAAAACATTTACACATTTGATTTAAAAAAAAAAAAAGTAATTTTCTGCTCCAGCAGTAATGGTTCGAGAATTTACAGAAGTCTAATTTAAATTGCTAAATATCTCAAATATATGCTTTTAACAGAATTTCACTAAGTCAGGGTAAACAAGAAGTGAATAAAAGCTTCACAAAAACTTTACATTTTATATTATTCTAAGAGGAGGATATGTTAATTTTTTCTGCCTGTAGATGTGAACGTACTTCAAAATACACTGAAAAGCCAAATGTGCAGAATGTTAAAGAGGAAATTGGGATTAAATAATTTAAAAAATATCCCATCTTGCAGCATTATTACATTAATTTGTTAAAGGACTTTATTTTAAAGTGCAGTAAGGCGTGCAATAAAAGCTCCTACAGGAAAGAAACTGTTTTTAACCACTCAGCTATCAGGGTGTCCTTCGTTGAAAACTTACTGTACAGTTTGTTTATATTTGGATTCACATAAAGGCCCTAATTCTACAGTTCAGTTCATTGGCTTGTGGCCTAATTTTCCACCAAATGTCACTGAAATCAATGAACAGACAGCCAAATTTGACAACAACAGTAAAACAATCAAAACAGTTAATTTTTAATAAGGTAAAAAAACAAAAAACATAACAAACTGAAATATGTTGTGTTAAATTCACTGAACATTTCCTATTATGTCAGTATTAGAAGTAAAATCACCCAAAGTAGGCTTACTTGACTAAAAATCCAAAGTTTCATCAGAAATTCCAACACTTAAAGTCCTTAAATATCAAGATGAAAAAGTCCTTTACATGGCTGTTGAGTATTTCCATTAACTTGTAATAATGATGTCGTGTCTGTCAGCCCCCAGCAGCAGCAGCAGCAGCACTGATGCTGTCTCAGTGTAGCTGATGTCTCGGTGCCCTTGGTGTTGCAGGGTTTTATTGATCTCACACTTTCTCATTTGAAAGCTGTGCTGCTGCGTGTCGGGACGGAGGCTATTTACAGCTATGTATAGCGGAGGCTGCCTTGAACGGGCCTTGTGTCCTCCCCATCTGCCTCGGATGGCAGATAAGGGCTGATTACAGTGTTGCATTGACAGGTTTTTCATTAGAAAACAAACTCATTAGAATGAATGGAGCCCTCTCACACCATCTGCACTCAAAGTAATATTCTGTGCTGCTTCAGTGACCTCGCAGTGTTTCCTGAGGTGACGCTTTGGGCCTTCAAGAGGACTCTCATGATAGGAGTCATCAGATGATTTACAGGATAAAGACAAAAATCTGTTACACTAGTCATGTATTTTAGGTGCATTTTGAAGTACTGCAATAGATAAAGTTAATGAAAACTTTCCCTTTTTCCCACTTTCCTTGTTTGTTTGTTTTTTTTTTTGCTCATTTTTAGCCACTGTGGCCTCATTTTTCACTGCAATATAAAACCCTGCACCTCTGTGGAAACAGCACAGCCATGACTAGACGTAGAGAGAACTCAAAAATATCTCCAGTACATCAAAGTTATGCTGCCATAAATCATATACAAGGAAAAATGAAAGTTGAATTTCTTTCTTTATTTATTTATTACAACTTGGAAAGCAAATAAATCAAAATGTACATCGATTTCCAAGACCCACAGGTGTTAGCAATACTGGAAAAAAAAAATATTATAGATATTTCACCACCTACATCTTAATTTTATTCCGTCCTTGTCTCCTATCTGCTCTGTGTGGACGCTGCAGTTCAGCCAAGACACTGACGACTTCAGAGCTTTTATTTTATTTTTTTTTGCAGCATCTGGTGCAAGTGGCTTATTTCTGTTGAGTTTTTAAACGAGACGTGCAGAATAAAGTGATTTTAATGAAGCTTAGATTTGATTTTCTAATGGAATGGCACCTCACAGACGAGCAGTTCAAAAACGGAAAGTTGAAAGATTCTTTACGTTTCTCACTCTGATTAACGGTGGAAATTTGTGCTAAAAAAAAAAAAATCTAGCTTGCCTTTCAAGCCCACCAACAGGTTCTGGAGTTGAGAAGGTTGATTAAACAAGTGTGAAAAGTATAAATACCACCAGAAACTCATCACATAGTGCTTTCACAGAGGATGACCCTTTGCTCAGCTTGTAAATTTGCTTTTTTTAGATTCTTGCGGTGAACATGGCAAAGTGAGCGCCTTTTTTTTTTACACAGCGGACTTCTCATTTAGCAAATAAAGCTCTTCAATGGCGTGTTTGAAGGCCCACACTTGGAAAGTTTGCTTCTTAATTGATAGCTCTTTACACAAACCAACTGTTTCATCATCTGCCGTCTCCTCACGCGTTCGTGTTGACTTTCCACAGCGCTGAGGTATTTCTGTCCGCCGCCGTGTGAAAACTGAGGCCCAATGTGATGATAAAACCTTTTTCCTCTGCCTCTTGCCGCCGCCCTCAGCTAGACACGAGGAAACTCTCAGGCCGTGAATACGAGCAGCCATCTTGGGGCAAATATTCCACCTCGGTGCCTGTTCTAATTGTCCCTGTTGACAGTGACTCGGCCTTGCTGCAGGTCTGCCGCTGAGTGAAGCCGCTGAGAGGCCTGGCTTCCACTGCGCTTCCTGCCTCCCCGCCTTACAATGGAAGTCCCCAGTCATGTGACCAGCGGGCCTTCCCCAGCTGTAAGAAAAAAAACTGGTCAGGAAGCGAGCTGGGGTCACAGCAGCGTTCGCCCCTCCACATGGCATAAAGGAACAGACTCAGGAGGCTTCTAAATCTGAGCGTTTGTCACTGGGGTACGTCAGTGCAGTTCCTGAGAAGGTGACCTTTGTTCTTGCCCCGAAAGGAAAAGGAGTGAATCATATGACATCCTTTTGTTGTACAAACAGATTTTGTAGCCTTGCTGCATTGTTCGGATTCCAAGGTTAGACGGAAATTCTTTTTTTTTTTTTTTTGCCAGGAAAGGCATTTATCAGAAAGCCCCGGTCACAGTCAGAGATTACACTAATTTATAAAACCATTCATAGCTGCAGCAGATTCTATATTGTTTTTGTGAATGAAACTTTGACTTTATAGAGGCTCGATAGTATATTTTTACTCTCTGATATTTCCTTTACACAGTGTACAAAGTTTGATTTACAGCTATATGATAAAATCTTTACCTTTAGGAATTCTCCAAAGATGCAGCACCTTCTTTAAAGTTTAAAACACTCAATACAAAACTGAACCTGAGCGATATTGGGCTTCAATTGAGCTGCATCTGTTTACCACAACCACCTTGAGTAAAGTGGTCCAGACATCCTTTTCCAACATATTCCAGCTCGTTCTGGGGGATCTTTCTTGAGATCTCGATGCCCAGAACACCAGGTCTTGGGCAGTGTTCCCGGTATGCCGTGGTTAGTACCTAGCAAAAGGTGGTGAACCGGCGACAAGGCCAAAGCTTACTGAGGCATGCAGGCAGTTTGCATCAGTGTGGTCCGATCCCACAGAGGAGCTGCTGTAGCACAAACGGCTGGAAACCATGATGTTGGCTATGAAAGAAAGGCGTCAGAACGCACAGTGCGTCAGAGTTCGTTGCGTCATATTGATGGCAGAGTTAGTTGTTTCCCACGGGGAGAGATGGCAGCACAGTGCTCCATGGGAAGAAAGCAAACTGGTGGAGGCTCGGTGATGCTCCAGACGATGTTCTGCTGGGAAACCTTGAGTACTGCCATTCATGTGGATGTTACTGACAAGCACCACCGACCTGAACATTGCTGCAGACCACCGCACAATGGCAGTGGCCTCCTTCAGCAGTAAACACGCTGAAAACATTGCTCAGGAAAGGTTTGAGGAACATGGCAAAGAGTTCAAGGTGATGACTCAGCCTCCAAATTTCTTAGATCTTAGTCCAGTCGAGCATCTGTGGAGTGTGCTGCAAAAACGTGTTGGATAAAAGTTCCATGTTGTGCCCATTTCAAGCAAAAATAACCAGTCTCACATGTCCCCACAGCAGAGGTAGGAAGTAATGAAGTACAAATACTTTGTGACTGTACTTAGATTTAGTAGATTTTGCAGGTATCTGTACTTTACTTGAGTATTTATTTTTCTAATGACTTTTTACTTTCACTCCCTACATTTGAACACAAATATCTGAACTTTCTACTCCTTACATTCTCAAAACTGGCTCGTTACTTCTATTAAAACCTCCGCGGATGACGACATGACGTAAAAGACAACAAACGTCTTTATCTTTACCAGCAGTGTGCAATTTGTCACTGAAGCTCAGCACAGCCCTGCCTGCCTCAGCTGCCTGCGAGAGGCTTTTTAGCACTGCAGGACTGATGTTCAGACCCAGAAGGGCTGAAACGTCTTCATTCAAAGAACTTTGAGAACCAGCTTCTGCTGAAGCTCAATAAAAGATGTTGGTGAAGAGACGAGTGTTTCCATGTTGATTATAATGTTTAATGTTTATAATGTTGCTGAAATGGAAAACTGTCCGGTGATGTTGTTCTCTGTAGCAGCACTGTGCAGGTTCTTAAAGGATGAAAACAATCCTATTGTGTGCTTAAGACTTTTTCATTTTGCAGAGTTATCAGAAGAGGCATCGAGTATCATCGAAGCTAAAAATTCATTTTTACTTTTGTACTTCAGTAAATTTCTGAACCTGTACTTTTTTTTTACTTTGACTTGAGTAAAGGAGTTGGATCAGTACTTCTACTTTTACCAGAGTCCATTTTTACACAAGTATCTCTACTTAAGTAAAGAATGTGAGAACTTTTGCCATCTCTGGCCCACCGTGAGTGTCCCAATTTTTCAGCTCCAAATACTACAAAGATGGTTAATTCCACCTCAACACTATCACCCTCAGTTTTAATGCTGTTCTGAAGGGGCTGTTTTGCTCTGCAAACCAATAAGCTGCTGCTGTTCCTGGCCTCTTCAGGACGACCACACCGTCTACTCGCTGGATCACTGTTGGTTAGTTCGGTGTTGCATAGCACCTTGGTTTAATTCTTACTGGCTTGTAAAAGCTGGGAGACAAATTAGTTGTTGCGGAGCTTGAGGAAGGAGAGAAGACAATGTTTGCATATCTTAACAGCTTTCATTTTACACTTCCAAATTTACAACAACCACAAACCCAGTTAAAAATGGATTTTTATTGATCACTATATCGTCCATCTGGTGTGTTTTAAGTCTGCCCAGTTCACAAAAAGATTCACACAGTTAAGAGTGTTCATGCAGTTTTGCCTCGGCTGTTAAAGTGGGACACATTTTTTCCTCAACTACTGCAGATTTAAAAACAGTGTAAAGTGAATCATAAACCACCTTCAAGGAACAATTTACGAAACACGGGTTCTGTTTTGTGTCAGTTGTAAAGTGTGGAGTAGCTTCATTTGTTAGTAAAACGGTGGAAACTGGAACCAAATATTCGGCCCTGTTTGCTTGATACACGATCAATCAGTTATAAAATAACAGGTTTCTGTTAAACTTCTGACCTTCAAGCCAATTTCAGGGCATTTGTTTTTTTCTCCTGTCAAATTTTTACTCATTTTTCACTGCGATATAAAGTCCTGCATCTCATTGGAAACGGAACAAGCGTGACTAGAAGTAGAGGGAACTCAGAAATTCTTTCCATGCAGCATGACACACATTCATGTTTGTGCTGAGAAGAGCAGAATTTATTTATTTATTTTTTGGCTCATTTATGGAAAATATTACACTTCTTTCTGTTTTACATTTTCAAGCGCTGATGAATGGAGTTATTTGAGGGATTTGTTTTAAAGATAACATGCTTTTCACAGGTTTTAGGGTTCAGTTCTATAAGAGAGGAATAAAACTGTATAAAAATCACACCCTTACACCAGAACAAATGTTTATGTGTGATCAGAATTGTAAGTTTTGTTTATGATGCTGCACATTCTCGTTCTGTTCTTGCTTGTTAAACACTGCCTCTTCCTATCCTCATATTCCTCTCTGTCTGTCTCTGCAGTGTATTTGGCATCTCCCCCATTGTTCAGAGCAACTGCTCGTACACATGGAAGCTCATCGTGCACCCGAATCGTGAGTGGTACCACTTTGTCAGTCCCATCATGCTGCTGGTTCTCTATTACACCCTGGCTACGCTCATCCGCCTCTGGCTGCAGGAGCCCATCGACCAGCTGATGGTGAGTTCAGCAGACAGACACGCAGTGGCAGCACATGGCTTGTAGGCCTTTTTTAGTTCATGACATTTTCTGAAACATACATGAATAATTTGATTATCAGGGTTTTTTTTTTGGTGTTTTTGTTAATCTTGAAATTAAAAACATACTCATTGACGATGTAGTGTGATGGGTTGAGTGATTGTTTGTTGTATGATATGACGAGTTCATTTGCAAAAACAGGTAATTCCATTTTTGTAGATTTTCAGAAAACTTATTTTTTTGTTGTTTGCTTGAGATATTATCAATCAAACTGAAGCTGAGTGGATTTGACTCAGTAGAAATGATATGACGAAAATAGAGATAACTTATGTTTAATTGATATTGTCTCACATAGATGATGGAACAGTGGGTTTTCTGAAGGTTTGTGAAGATGGAGTTATCTGTTGTTGAACTCTTCATGGTTTTCTCTCGTTCCCATACCTAAGTAGCTAAATGCAGACTTTATAATGAGATATTTTCAGTAGTGAGAAAGAGAACGACTGTTTCAACCATCAAAACAATATTTTGTTAATTAGTTTTTGTTTATTTGTTTGTTTTTACCTTGTTTGCATGTCCATTTGGTGTTTTCTTTATCTACTAGAAGACATATCATGCACAAGATAAGCAGTCAACTCTATGGCTGAGCATTTTGAAACTGCAATTTACAGATGGCAGTCTTAAAAACACAGATAAAGACTTCTGAGGTTTCATACATGACAAACAAAAGCCACCGTAACAATCCTGTCAGATGACACGGTGGGTCTTTATGTATCATATGTGGAGAAAGAGGTGAAGACTTCACAGATCAAGACATTTTAAGGAAAGAAGAAATCATTTCATGGAAAAAATCTTCTAATTGTGCAACTTTGACAAACAGAAGTTAGTTTTCCTTTCATAGGGACACATACTTGTTGAACAACTCTGTGCTGAATAAAATGCTTCCAAGTTTTTAGTTAGTAGTTGTAAAAAAAAAAAAGAGGTTGAAATTAGGGCATCTGTCTCATTTTTGCAGGGATTAGTCACAGAGGAACAACTTTACAGGGTGGAGGAGGCAGATGCTTCAGTAGGCCAAGACACAGTGCAGTCTGATGTTTAATTGTTTTTATATTTTCAATGTTTTTTTATTGCCTGATTTCACTCTCTCCAGCTCTTGTCCTCTTTCACACCTGCTCCCTTTGTACAGGTGGACAAGTGTAACACATTTAAATGAGGACAAAGAAGAACATATATCTCAATCACAAAAAATTATTAAGCTGTTAACTGTCTGAACCACAAAACCCACCAGCTGGTTCGCAAAGCGTGTCATTATTATTATTATCTAAAATTGCTAAGATTACACCATCTACCAGAGTCAGAAACTGTAGAAATAGATTTTCAACTGATAGGGTTAGGATGTGACTTCTGGTTTGGTCGGGAAACTAAATCTAAGCTTATATTTGTGATATTTCATTATGGTCACTTTATCTCACATGTTTTCTCTCAGAAGTCATCAAAGACAAGTTTCAGATTCTGTAGAAAACAAACAAACAAACAAACAAACAAACAAACATACAAACATACAAAAAAATAGGGCTTCTCTCTGTGCAACTGAGACACCATTAGTGACTCAGCTGCAACCCGTAGTCACCTGACAAAAATGTGGCTATTTGGTTGAACTGCAGGCAGTGATTATGCAGAACAGATAGTATTCAAATGAAAAAAAATGTAAGTAGTAAAATATTTATAGGATATGAAGAGTTCATTTGCAAAAACTCCATCTTCACAAACCATCAGAAAACCCACTATCCCATCATCTACCTTTTCTGAAACTCTACAAAAATATCTGTTTTTGCAAATTAACTCTTTATATAGAGTCACAGCGAGCATTTCTGTGTTCCCTCTCCTTCTAGTCATGATTGTGCCGTTTCCAAAGAGGTGCAGGACTTTATGTTGCAGCAAAAAATGACCCCAGAGTGAATAAAACATATGACAGGAAGAGAAAAGTGAATGCAAACAGTGAGCGGGTGTTTGCATTTGGATGTTTACCTGCACAGCAGCTCCAGACAGCGAACTGAAATAGATGCAGATTGAATTAAATGGGCAGCCAGGTGGCCTCGTGATCAGAGAAACCGTATCGATGGAAGATTCCAGGACGATCGATCGCTGACTGCATCTGTCCGCTGCATGTAGCTCAGGTGTTACCTGAGACACTGTTGGTCTGATTTTGACAAAGCGTGGACGTCTTGGCACTGTAGCTCTACTTTACAGCTTTTACATAACAATTCAGCACAAAACTATTGGTCCAGATTTGTTAAATGACCCAGGGATGATGCATCATGGTAGTTACTGTATTAACGTTGCCCAGGCCAAATTTTAATTAGATTCAGGGACAGTTATGCAGAGTTTCACACTCGAGAGACTTATTGACAGATGTGCAGGATTATAAACACTGACTATGAAGCAACAAAAAGTCAGTCAGCCCGATAACAGAGTGGTTTGTGCTCATACCACCTGGTTCGATTTCTTCTCAGCCCGACTCCCAACATTTCCTGCTCCTCTCCACTGTCGCTATCTAGTAAAAGTGAAAGTGCTCCCCAAAAATCTTTTAAAAAAACAAAACTCCTACCCTCTGTTGATCAGTTTACTCACTTTATTGAGAAGTTGAAGTCGTGAGATGTAAGTCTAAGGAGGCTCTGCAGTCTGTTCTTTGCTGTTTTGCCGATATCATAGCAAGCAGCTGTTTGTAAAAATCCAAAAATCAAAACAAAAAAATCCTCAAAATTGGAGTATGTAGGAGTTAAATAACCAGATATTCAGAAGGAGAGTAAACATTGGACTCACATTCATCAGGTAGACACAGTCATGACTGTAAATGAATGAAATAAATACATCTGCTGATGTGTAAATAAGGCACTTATTACCAATATATTAACCATCAAAGCAGGTTCTACTCCTGTCTATTTTTTTCTCACTGTGGACTCATTTTGCGCAGCAATATGTAAGCAAAGAACCATCTATGGAAACCACAAACCAATGGCCAGGAGTAGACAGAACTCAAAAATGTAGAATGCCATAAATGATGAAAAAAAAACAACAAGGAAAATTTGTGTTATTTACTTTACAAAAAATGTAATTAAACCTGGAATCAATATGGACATTTTTCAAGTGCTGGAGGTGCTGATACTAGAAAACAATGTTGGCTGTACACAGGTATTGTGTTGTTTACATGTTTAATCTGTTTTTATACTTGTCTCCTGTCTGCTCTGTGTAGAAACAGTCCACAGTTAAGCTGAATAGTTCCTGAATTTTGGTCACATGACTCTTGATCACAGCCGAGTCACGAATAGCTTCATGGTTACACCAAAAATGTAAAATTTTTTTGTATTTCACATCATCTTGTCCGACCAAATGTTTAATTTTTTAGTGAATTTTTAAATGACAAATGTTGAATAACCCGATTTCGATGAAGTATCAGAATATTGATTAGATTTGGTTGTTATGATGGAACAACGTGGCACAAATGAGTATCTCAAGCATGAAAAGGCTGAATATCCGCATTTTACTAACTCTCTGGCTCAGATAAATGTTGTACAGTTGTTTCAAAGACACCGTGGCTTTCAGACCTACTGGTGGGTTGTAGGTTTCAGAGAGCTGCACATATAAACCATATTTATTAGTGATGTTTAACAACTAGTTCACAATGTTTAAGAGTGGACTGAAAAATCTGTCCTCACATTTTCACTATAATCTTTTCACGCACCACTTTTCAGAAATAAAATGCCGTTCACCTTCATTCTGTTCAGGTCAAATCTCAGGGACAGACACCTCGATACAACAATTGCTTAGAAAAGCATTTTTTTGGCAGTTTGGGTGACTTTATTGGAATCTGATGGGATCTAATCATCCAAGATTTTTGTCATTACTTCATAGAAACTCAGCTTTGACCAGCGAAGTGGAACGACTGCTGTCCTCAGTAAAATATCAAGCAGCAACGTCCCATTCAAGAAGCCCCTCGCTCCTGAATTCAGCCTGTCCTCCTCCACCTCAGAGCTCCAGGCTCAGCTCCTTTGTCCTGTAATGGAGTTATAGATTAGTGTTTTTATAGAGGGGTCAATACTTCCCTGTAAACCTATGGGGCTGTATACATTATTGATCTGACCACAGAGGGGTGTGTGTACGTGTTTCACCTACACTTACACTTTAGATGACGCTAATAATAAAAGATGATTACGGCTTAAATCAGCCGCTGACAGCTTTGTTCAGTGGTGGAGATGCCAGATTATGAGCTCATCTTCACCTCAGCTTTGCCAAAAACACGAGACAGACTGCGTGTCCTCCTTCCACGTCCCAGTTATTTGAATTTAAGCCAAACAACTGTCAGAAAATAGTAATATTCTGGCAGCCGGGTCGCCAAAACTACAGTAAAATAACAGAAAATAACCATCTAATAAAAATATAGAAATTATCCATAATTAAAATACATTTTCTGGCTTTAATCTTACATAAAGTCATGTGTATTTTTGTCTTTTAATGTTTAATTGAGGATTTTCCTACAATATTAGAATGTTAATATTTAGTAATAGATTTATTGACCATTGTTATTGTAAAACTTACAGGATAAATCTCAATTAACTAACAAATGGATTTAAAATTCCACAGCTGGTACTTTTTTCCTGTTAGTTTTTACTAATTGTATCTAATTTAAGAAATATTTGTAAAATTCTGATACATGAACAAATGTATTTCACTTTTAGTGTATATATATTATTTGTTAAATAGCAGAAAATTCTGGATAATTCAAAGTTATAGGTTTTTAATGTTATTTTCCATTAAATCTGTGAATTAGCAAATTTTGTAATTTCGTATACATAATGTGTTTGTCAAACAGACCGTAAAAAAACCCCCACAGATCTGATTTGTTTGATTTGATTTGTGTTTGACCAGCTGTGTATATTCAGCAGCAGTTTGCAGAATAATCTTAGCAGAAGTTTTCAAAGGAGGGAAACATGAGAAATATGTTCCTGAGGTCAATCTGAATGATCGAAATCCTGCATGACTGATATTTTTAATTAGAAAAACCCCAACCAGCACTGTAGCCTAGAACTAAACCCATAACCAACAATAGAAACTGTAATTGTTGTATAAACACATTTTACTCATATTGTGATTATACTGAACATTAGATGCTTAATGCAGACATTTGCAGACTTGACAGCAGCGTTCATCTGATAATAATAATCATGGCGTGAATAACATTTCACAATTTAACCTAATTAGTGAAGTTTGGTTCTCCAGCGCTGCATTACTTCTTCTTGTTCAGTGACACTGACACTTCAGATTCCTGTAACATGAGAAACTGCACTGAGAACAAGTGGAATTTTCTTTTCCTAATGGCAGCAAGTAACCCACTTTTTGTGCTGTTTTCTGTGGTATTTGAGCCATGCAGACACTGCCAACATGATACTCAGTCATGATTTCCTCTTTTGAAAGGTCACGCAGCTCCTCCTCAGACTCCTGCTCTGCTAAACAGCCTCAATCGAAGCTGATTAAAACTGTTCCTCGTCTGTGTCGCACGACGGCAGACCGAGCTCACATGGAAGATACACATCACCAGACACCAAACTGTCTATCTGTGTTTTTTCAGGACGACAAAGACGACGACATGTGCGAGGAGGAGGAGCAGGTCGGAAATAACTCGGCCAACAGGAAGAGGCATCTGTGGTGGGAGTCGCGTCAGGGCACAGATGAGAAGAACGTACGTCTGGGTTACACATGGCTGACAAAGTATTGATTATTGGACCGGTGATCATCGTTTTATTAGCATGCCGATGTACAACCGCTGTTAAACCACAAGTACAAGCATGAAAGAGAAGAAGAAGAAAAATCCAAACAGCCTTGGAATGATCTGAATGTATTTCTTTAATGGCTCTGACGCTGGTAGATTTTATTGTTCAGAGGGTAAAAGAAAAACTGTAGGAAATCCAAATAGCCTTGAAATGATCTAAATATTTTTCTTCAAGAAGTGCAACAGTTCTTCAGCAGCTTCCAAAAAACAACCTAATGTCTCCCTTCCTTGTGCTAACTGATAACTAATGTGGATTCAGTGTAAATATCAAACAATAACAGAGTGGAATGGAACAAACAGCAATAATTTAGTGCAGCTATAAGCAGGAAACCAGCTCTGAACCGAAGCTGCAGCTGTTGATTGTTTTCAACAGCGTGCATCTCTTTGTAATAAACCTTTTTCCCTGGAAAGATTTCAGCTGGAGATGCACAAACACACATCGTCTCGCACACACATTCTGACCTTGTTCCTATATCAAGGTCCGTAGTCTGTCTCCACTGGCCACCTCCTGAGGTTTAAAAGCTTTTAGGGTGTGCAGACACAGATGAGTGATGGGCTCGATTTACAGAGTAGTGCTGCGCGGCTTTGTTCCTGCTTATCAGCGACTATAAAGAACAAGGAGGCCTTTGACTTCAGCAGCTCATCGATAACACACCTTGCCTTATATGCTCTTTTCTCCTCCAAGCTGCTCTCAACCCAGGATGGCATCAGTACGACTGAGGTGCGGCCGCTCTGGATGTCTCTTAAATCTGTGCATCTTCCACCCTCGGTTTTGCTGCAAGAAAAGGAATTAACTGCAAAGTGCTTTTCACACTGCGTCCTCGTAGAGCAGGGTTATATTTATCCTGCGTGTCTGAATGACTTAATCAAAGGCTCCGAGTATGTTTATACGTGACTTTTGTGCTGCTAGAAAGGAAGTAACCCTGGTGTCAAACTGCCTTTTTCTGCTCAATTATCAGGCTGTTAAGGTGCTTGAGAGTGTGAGAAGCAGAGAATGTCGGGAGGAGAGAGAGTTGTTTGTGCTTTATGTTGGGAAATGTTCTTACCTATTTTATCTCAAACCTTCAGAAGCCTTCTGCTCAACCATATTTAAACCTTTTTTTTTTCATCATAAACTACAGAAAATGATATCTATGAAATTTTACCTTAATATATGAAACACTTTGCAAGATAAAGATTAGCTGTTGACCCACTTTTAGCTGTATTTTCCCACACTGACATTTGAGGCAATGTTTGAATGACAATGCATCGGGAATTATTTAAGATAGAAGCATAAAAGTTTCATTCTCATCATGTCGTTGCGTCCAAATCTGCAATATTGGACAAGCATCATCTTAGAGCACAGATTAATTAAAAAAAACATAATACAGAAGTCAATTAGGTTCATTTCTGAACCACATGTGGCTGCAACTCACAATCAAACATAACAAAATACACAGAATACTTCTTAATATGAAATACTTGGTCAAAAAGATTAAATTAATTTCAATTGAACTTTCATAACCGTTGGAGCAGGTATAAAAAGTTGTACCACACTAAGAAAAAAACACAATACAAACAGATTATCCATGTAGAAGAGAGTCATTGTTGTTTTTTAATATATAAATTGAAGGCTTTTATCCTTTAGAGTTCCTGAGATATTGTCCTTCAAACATCCAACTTTAATGTGTGAAAAACATGCTGAAAGTGGGGCAATTTTTAAAATATTTAATCTCGTAAAGTGTTTTAAAATTTCTCAGATACCTTTAATTTACAATTACAAACAAACGTTTCAGGCAAATCAGAGCAGAAATTGTTCTCCAAATGGTTTGAGATGAAATGACCCTTAAGCATATCTCACAACACAACAAAGCAGAAAGAAGCACATCTGGTGAATATCGAGAGCAGACTTTTAATGGGTTGGTTCATACTTTGTAAAGTCTTTCGTAGAAATACTCACCTGCTGATATTTACATTGAGAACGCTGTCAGCAGCTGCAGTCGATCCTCCTGTTCACACCGCCGCTGAGTAAATCCCTTTATGATGGGACTCCAGTGTACAGACTTCTTAGTAGAAAATCATCTCTTTGTGTGCAACATCTCCACACATTTTGTCGAAGCAGATGGAGGGAATTTCACACCCAAAATCAAATGCAAATTTAGAAGATACACGCTTGGTTTGTCCAACCAGACTCACATGAACGTACACTGGACTCATTATGCACAGAAACTGGATGGTGGATTCTGTCAGTCAGTCTGAACAGGAGAAATGATTGCAGCCCCTGAATCTGTGTAAATGAAAATATGAGCATGTGACTATTATTCTAACCCAGACTTGACATATGTGGACATTTCCTGCATGTCTTACTATCTGTTTCCAAAAGGTAGCGCACAGATGAAAGCACACGTTTTGATTTTTATTTCATGAGATGCTTGTTAGCCCGGGCTTATGAGGCAGCTTGTATTTGCCTAAATCCATTAAAATGCAGTGTGAAAAGTAGAAAAAGCAGAAAATAATCCCTTCGTTTCCCCACAAAGTCAAAGTGTGGTAACTAAGTGGCAAATTAAACCAACACAAAATCTTGTTAAATTGCCTTTCCTGGTAAAAAAGCGCTAAATCCATTGGATTAAAATGATTTAATCACACAGCTTCAGTTACTCCTGTTTGCCTTTGTGGGGCAGAATGCTGCACAGTACAGTGATCCTGTAACTAAAGCATTCCTCACTTACAGAAGTGTATTTGTGGTTTCTGATGGTGATCTGCAGGCTGTTCCCACCTCCAACGGGACGTCCTTTGACTTTGTCGCGACTGAGAATGGACCAGTCTGTCTGGACTTGTACTCCACCCCCCAGTATAAAATGGACCAGCCTCTTGACAGCCCAGGTGAGCTGTTTACTCTCCACCACCCTGAGAAGCTAAATAACGCAAAAATGGAGTGGAAGCTACTAGAGCACCTTAACTGGACGACAAAAATAAATGAAGCAAATGAATCACATTACAGCTTATTCTCAACTTGTAGGTTACAGGTGATAAAAGTTTTAGAGCAGATTAATGCTGTTCTTCCTTCAGTAGGGCTGAAAAATGTATTTACATGTGATTTTTCAGTCAAATATGAAACTTTTATTGTGATTGGATTTGTGATACCTTTTTTTTTTTAAGTCAAACTTCTGTTCAGTATTCTCTATGTGATAAATTTAAACATACAATAGAGAATTGTTATGCATAATGTATGTCCTCATACACGCAGCCTCTGTGGTTTGCTATTTGCATCGTTTCCAATCATGACTTTGATCTGAAATTGATTCATCACCCTCAATCCTAACATTCAGATGTTCGATAGGAGTCCTTACATCCGAAGCTAATCCTTGCTGTCAGGTGGAAAACTATTGATTCAGGATTTTTCCTGCATAAAAAAGTTTTTAGTTTTAGGTTTTAGCGCCACTCCCTCTGCTCACTACACTCGACCAACAAAAGCCTCCTGATACAACCACCACAACAGGGCCGAGACACTCACTAGTGCATGCTCTAGGATTGAAAATTAAAGAAATATAAACCTTTTATACCAGTTTTCTTAATTGGAGTTTTGCTTACTCAAGCAAAAAAGACATTTTTGTCAATCAAATGGTCAGAAATAACAGAAAAATGTATAGATTTCAGTCAGATAAGGAAACAGAGTCATTGCCCTTACTGTATGCAGAGAAGTCAGTCTTACTATCATGTCTACGTCCACATTTAGACAAAAATCTCTCTCAGAATCTCACAAATCTGTTCATTTATCAACAATTGCAGTTACATGCATGTTTTGGCTTAGTTTAAAGGATTATGTAGTTCTCTGTAGGCTGCTCATAGACTAAGATGTGTAAGAACTCAACAATTCATCAATTCAAAACTTTTTAAACTTCATATTTTTTTATTTTTAAGGTTATTAAGTTTTCTTAGTTACATCAGCTGAATAAAATGTACGTTTTACAGATCAACAAACTGTCTGGATTTCAGGCCTGCCTCACAAAAACACAACTAAACTGCATTCTCAATAACATTTTGAGGGAACCATATTTCCTGCTATATGTTTGGAATCGCTACATGTTTGCCGTTGGTTTAATAGCTTCACTGTCACTCCTCTGTATCCAGCCCATCATACATTAAACGAGGCGGAACTCGTTGCCCTGGTAACCCAGAAAATAGAGGAGAAGCTTCAAACACGCTGCGACTGGATCATATTTAAACCCAAACCGTGTTATTTTCCTAAACCTAACCAAATATTTTGGATGAACGAGTGGAAATGAAAATTAAGTCTGAGAATAATGGTTCCAAGCAGGACGCAAACTCCGCTCTTGTTCTAGTTTAATGCGTCGAGAATAGAATCATTTATTTTCTCTTCACAGGGCCGATTCCTTTGTGTTCGCTTAAGTACAGTTTGGAGTTTACTTGTACTTCATTCGAGTGTTTTCCTCCTCTTTTTGTATTCAAATGCATCTTTAGTTAAACGTTGTACTTTTTCCTTCACGTTATTTTTAAAGCCTATCATAAACAGATAAAATACATGATAAAAGGACTAAATCAGCTCCATGATCACCAGTTACAGCATTTAAAGCTCACATGTTACATCATGAGTAATATTAATCCAAAACAATAATGCCTGATAACGTATCACCGACAGAACTGCATAGTTTTTGAACTCCCATTTCCCCTGATATTGCTCAACCCAAGTCTGAGGTCAAGATCTTATTACTGATTGTACCAGACTCAAGTCTTAACTCTTTCACTTTACGTTTGCTTTGTTGCCACCGAGTTCACAAAAGTGTCTTCAGTGATTTTACGTCACAGTCGATATAATACCGGTGGGGGGTCCTCGACAGCCGGCGGATCCAGCTGTTTAATGTCCTCTGTGGCTCTGGAGAAGCTTTATGAAGTCTGAGAACACTATTTGGAGGACGTTACATGAATACTGTTATTTTAGAGGCAGCAGCTTTTTAACAAAAACCCTGCTGAGTCTAATGCAAGACACGTTTATGGTGTGAGATCCAGCGTTTTTACGTCAAACCAGGCCTAAAAGTAAAGATATCGGACTCTGCATCATTTAATAACTGAGCTACTTCACTAATTTTAATCAACTGTGTTTTTTTTTCTCCAAGCAGAGAAGAAAGACGAGTGTGTGTACGAAGTGTGTTTGCCTCCGGAGGATTCGGCGCTGAAGGAATCTGAGACTGAAGAGAATGAGATAAAGAAACGAGGAGTCGGCGCGATGGTTAAAGTCTTCCACTTCGTCATGAAACAGAGCTACATCTGTGCTCTCATAGCCATGATGGTGAGTAATGCAGCGGCTCGCTGGTGGTGTGACGTACGAGGAGCTGAGCGCCGCTGGATTGGTGTCATTTATATGGATGTCAGGAAGGAAAACGCACTCGACTCTCATTTAGTGGTAAATTTAAAATTGACCGTAAATAAACTGCAGTGACGGAGTGATTGACGAAAGCTGACACCTTAAACACCCCCTCTTACCTTCGCAATAAGATCGGATTGCAGATTTGTTGAGGTTTGTACTCACCGTTTAATTTCAAATGACATGAATGCAGTAGTCCTACCAGAAAGTGACAAATTCAAACCCACAGAGCTGCTGGAAAAATGTCAGTCCACTTAGTGAATTCCTTCCTGCTTGATCAACTTCGATTAAAATGCCCTTGAGCAAGGCACAGAGCCCTTCTCTTGCTCCACTGGAGCTGCTGGCCGACCAGCAGAGGGAAACTGTGGTTGTACTGGGCAGCGTCTACGGCTGCATGTGTGGCACAAACTAAAACTGAGCATCTGTTCTCCGTTTAGACATTCCTGGATGACTCATAGTTAAATAAATGTAGCAGTTGCTTAGTGTGACTTTGATTATGACTTGGTAACACACAGACGCTGGGTTTTTAATGACTAATTGACAGTGGAGATTTATTTTTCACTGCTCTACAGAAAAACAAGCAGAACTGAACTGTAGTGAAGCTTTTGTGTGTGTGTTAGAAACTGCAACCTGGACTTAACTACTGCTGGAATCAAGATGACTTTTTATTTTTATCACAGATTGGTCGTGTCTTGAATACGTCTGTCATTCTGGTCATCGTCTACCAGGATTCAATGTTCTTGCAACTAGATTTTCTATGTGGCAGCACGGAGTGGATTTAAACCTTCATTTTAAGAGCAATCTTCATCTAACAGTTAGAAATAGCTCCCTAATAATTTCCTATTTCAGTTAACTCTCTAAACGCCAGGCAGTTTTGGGACAGTTCTTGCTCCTTTCACATTTTTACTCACTGTGGCCTCATTTTTCACAGTTTTATAATGTTACAGCAGGGAGACCTACAAGATGTTTTCTGCGCAGGTTAGCAAAGTTATAATGCCATAAATCCTAAAACAGACAATCTTTTAATTTGTTGGATTGTATATTCTACAAAATCTAAAAAAATGAAATGTGTGTAATATTTTTGTGCCTGCAGGTGTTATCAATACCAGAAAAAATAGCGGCTTCCAC